TAACCACTACTTCATAGTTTTCTAACATTAGTAATCTTTGCGCTGACTATGGGTCCAGCAAACCATCCAATATAACAGAATATTCCGGGTGTAATACAGAATATTCTTGTTTATTCAGGGCTACCTCATAATGAACTTTAAGTGTGCCAGAGTATAGATTTTAGCTACAAGTAATAAGCGAGGTATTAAACAATCTTTGCTTCCGGAACTTTTTGATGATTCTTATACATGTATATTATTATCGAAAATTAATTTAATATTGTTTTTTATTTAATATAATTTAATATAATTTTTATTTAATTTATTTTATCAATCATATAACAGGTTTAATAATATATTATAAATTCAGCAATGAATTAATTGCATAGAATTGGGTAATAATAATAGTCTCATAATTAATCCAATCATTGATTTTAAATTCATTTTCATTCAAATTATCAAAAGTTTCATCTCATATCAATTATCCAGATATAACACATTGTCTTAAGATAATTGTGTTAACCATATCATGACACTATCCCTCCTTTTAAGGCTTTCAAAATATAATACTGTACTGTACTGTCATTTTGGGGTTTCAATTTAATTAATGACAATGTTAATTAATAAACTTATTAACATTTAATGTATACTATAAAATATTATCATATAGTATTATATTATGTGTTCAATATAATTTATTAAATTTATTATAATTATCTGTAGTATTATAATGTTATACTGTATACTATACAGTGTATAGTATATTGTATTTTTTTATTTTGTTTTTTTAAATTAAAATTTATATCGTTAATTTGTTAACTATTAATTTTGTGATCAAGGTTATTAGATTAGGTAACTCAGATACTACATGTGTTTTTGTATTGAAAGTTATTTATTAATTAATTATTTATGAAATGACAGCTAAATGCAACAGATTCTGAATAGTGTTTAACATTAGAATACAAATATTTTTTGCCTTTCCTAAAATAATTGAAACTAACATACTATAGATATTTATTTTGCAATCTTATTATTATCAATATATCTAGTTGATTTGGTTAAATTACCTTTTCTAAATAAATATTTTATGATAGTTATTTATTATTAAATACTAATCATATCTATATTCATAAATGATTTTAAATTGTACGATACGTAAAGTTTTATTTTTACATTAAGAAAATTTTTATTTAATTAAAACTTATGAACATTATTTTAAATAAAGTTATTTATTTAGTCGACTAAAATTATTTGACAAGAATATGTTGCATAACATAACATTTACACCAAGGGCAATTTGGATGCCACTGCCAGAGCACCTAACTCTCCAATTCGGCGCAACTCTAAGTCAAACATTTTAAGGTTAGCACATCTCTGGGCCGGAGTTAGCGATGAGTTTTGGGAACATTGCTTTCCTGCGGTGTATAGCTGTTCGTACAGGTTCTTGATCTGCAATTCATTTATCATATCAACAAAGTAACTACCCATTTTAAAATAAAATATACCTGGGTAACAACTGAGGCCATTGGTGGTGAGAGTGCTTTGAGCAATGTACCGCCAACACCCATAAACGTCTCAAGAATAGGTAATCTGAATGTGAATTCTGCGAGAGCGCCGCCATACTGCTCAATGAAATTGCACTGAACGGTGTCATTCATATGGTTGGCCCGGTATTGCTCGTCACAAATGATCAATTGAGTCATTCCCGCGATTTCTTTGGTGGCTTTGGCTCTTTGGGCATCGCTGGTGGCAGTGCTCAACACCTTTGGTTCACCAGTGGGTCCCATAATATTCATAACTCCCGGTCCGTAAGCGTTGTTGAAGTCATAATAGCAGTTGAGTCCCAGTTGTCGGGCGGCATTGGATCTCTTGTTGACCATAGCTGTGGCGGTCACCAGATTTTTTTGGGTCAAATCAATCAACTGTTGGGATGTGAGGCCTTCGAGGGCTGCGTTACCAGCTTTGGCACAACG